ATGAAATAATAAAATCTGCAGGTAAATGGATAGATATAGAAACTGTTAAACTAAGTGAAGTAACACAGACTCAGAAAAACAAAAGACGTATGTTCTCCCTCATTTGTGGATCCTAGCACCAAATCCTTATATGTGAGTGCACATCCTGATGCAACTGCAGGAACCAGGAATATGGAAGGGAACCAGGGAGGTAAAGGGAAAGAAGGAACGCAAGAGAGAATAGGATAAAGGTGCTACTAAAGGAGAAATATGTAAAAAGGGGGTAGTTAAAGGCTGGGGGTAAGGAGGGCTATACAAAGAACTATGGGAATAAAGGGAAAATAAAAATTCTCCATATACACAGTAAAAAAAAAAAAAGCCTTAAGCACAGAAGGAACCCTATGAGGATGGAAGAAAGCCCTTCCAGAAGGAATACGGTTGTTAAATGAAAATCCCCATGCCAGAGGTGGGTTGTCCCCCTATGAGCTGTTGGACTGAGGGGCCCTGGAGGTCCCTAAAACAATAAAGGCCACTGCCAATAATGTTGGTTGTACACTGGAAGTGGATGGAGGGACCCTATTGCTGAAGAGACTGCTTGTTATGAGTGCAGGAGAGGGAGAAATTAAGCTTGGGCTAAGCTGGAAACTCCCTGCCACTGGATGGGTGGCTTTCATGGTGCCAAAAGGCGATATGCAGATGACTGGGGGAGAATCATCCCCTATAATTTTGCTCAACGGTGGACCTCACATGTTGTATTATCAACATACCAAACAAGATGTTCCTGCTGGTGCCATAGTAGCATGTCAAGTGTATGTACAACCAGCAAATTTTTGATTGGATATAATGCCTGCTCCTAGGGTGCAACACACATCTGGTACTGTAGACCAGACCAACCCCCTATGGCAGGGGAGAATATAGGCCCCAGTGGAAAGCCACTGCAATTGTTCTGTTAGGTGGATGTGATGTACCTGCTAAAGTACCATCCAAGCATTTGTGTTTATACCCATAGGTTAAGCCACTGTTTAGAGGTTCTTGCTTCTTGTGTTTTGTGTTTTTATAGTAGATGGAATCCCACTGAAATGGGCCAACAACCCATGGAAAACAGACGATGCAGAAACCTGAAAGTTCAGTACCTTGTCACAACAGGAGGATCATCCCACCCCTACCATCCTCTCCAAGGCTCAGAGACTTTTGCGGAAGAGGTTGGCAGAAAGAATATAAAAGCTTGAGGAAGGGGAGGAATGTTAACTGGAAGTGTCCTCCAACCACTATGCTGGCAAGCTATAGTCACACCTCCTTCCCACACTCATCAAGGAGTCAAGGGGGGAGTCAGTTACCCCTCCCACCCAATCAGTTGACCTTAGCTACATGTGGGGGAGGGGCTAAGGATATAGAAGCTGAGAATGCCAAGAGGCACCTCTCTCACCATTTTCTGCAGCTGTCAGGAAGTCACAGGATCTATATTAAAGTGTGGACTTTCCAGTGCAGCTGTAATGAGGGTGCCCATTCCTCTGTAAATAAACTCCGGCCTTATGCTCTGTTAAAAAAAAAAAAAAAAAAAAAAAAAAAAAAAAAAAAAAAAGAAAAGAAAAGAAAATAGAAAGAAAATGATAGGTGTTTGGATAGTGAATAAATAAAATCATATCTAGACCGCAAGTGGATGGACTTGCACTGGGGAATGGCCAGGGACACTGACTTGACACAGTGGGCCTTAACACCCAGGACAGGGTATATGGGTTCCAGTGGGGAGGCTAAGGGAGGGTGCTGGTAGGGACAGGGCTATAAAGATGATTCAGATTATTTGAGATATTCTATATGAAACAACGAAATTTAATAAAAACAAATTGAAAAAAATAAAAAAAATGAATAAATAAAATCATATCTTCTGAGAGCTGTGAAGAATGGGAGAAATCAAAACTATTAATTTCTTTCTTCTTCTTCTTTTTTTTTTTTTGAGACAGTGTCTCCCTGTAACACAGCTGGCCTGGAATTCACTATGTAGACCAGGCTGGCCTTGATCTCACAGATCCACCTGCCTCTGCATCCCGAGTGCTGGGATTAAAGATATATGCCACCATGCCTGGCTCAAAACTATTTTCTTTTAAAAAGCCATAAAATGAAACCAAAGAAACCCCATCTACTTCTGATGGAAGTGGGGAAACAACTTAAAGGAGTGGCTCAACTTCAGTGAGGTGAATGTGCTCCCTGAAGACTGTCTGCCTTTGCTGCATGCCAGCCTAGACAGTTAATTGGTAGCACTGTTTAAAGAGCTACTAGGCCTTAATACAATTCAGTGTATGAATATCACTTATACTATGTGAATAAATAAGACAGGACTTATTTCTAGAAACTACAAAGTCCAATCATCAATTTTAATTTTTAATAAAATAAATGTATGTGGCTATTTTTTTAACTTAAAAATTTTTTTGAAAAATTCATACATGAACACTGTATTTATAACATTTCACCCCTCCCTCTACCCCCTCCAACTCCTCTTATATACCCCCTACTCTCTCTGAAATTCATGACCTCTTCTTTAATTATAATTGTTTTACACACACACACACAAACACAAGCAAAACCCTACTGAGTCCATTTAGTGCTGCCAATATGCACATGTGCTTAGGGCTGACCATTTGGGATTGGACAACCCATGAAGAGGTTCATCCCTGGAGAACACTGATTTTCTCCATCTCAGCAGCCACTGACTGCCTGCAGCTCTTCATCTAAGGGTATGGCCTTGTGAAACTCCTCCCATTCTCACTGACATGCCCACTAGTCTTGCCATTATGCAGGTCTTGTTTAGGCAACCATATTGTTGATGTGCAGCTATCTTCTTTTAAAAAATATTATGTATTTACTAATCTTTATGCATGTGAGCATTTTGCCTCCATGTTACGGGACCTGTATCATGCAGTGCCTGTGCAGGCCAGAAAAGGGCATCAGTACCCTGGAACTGGAGTTACAGAGGGTTGTTAGCCCCCATGTGAGTGCTGGGAACTGAACCCACGTCCTCTGCAAGAACATCCAGTGCTCTTAAATACTGAGCCATCTCTCTAGCTCTGCAGTTATTTTCTTATGTAGAAAAAGACACTGAAAGTTTAAAAGATTGTAAATAATCAACACAATTTTACTGCCTATTTTAAAGAGAAACTTCAAGATTTGAAATTACAAAGTATGACTGGTGAGAAGCACAAAGGATAAAATGGATTATTAAAAAGCTTTGGAAAATATGAAAATCCTTCAGAATAGTGTTTGCTATTGTCACTGGGTGTTAGTTTTTCACAGAGTACCACTGCCCCACATTCTTGGTGACATCTTCTGAAACTGCCTGCAGAGTAGCATCTGTTTTTTAATATACAGTTACATAACTCTAGTTTCTACAGGAATTTTGGTCTAAATTAGTAGCTAGAAGTGATTAAAAACTTTTTGTGTGACTTGCAATCTGGTCTAATTTACTTAAAAGTTATTAAAGATATTCTTCTGGGCTGATATCTGTATCACCTCAGGCATCTTGGGACCCTTCCTCACTCTGTTTCTATCCTGATAGGCTGAAGTCTATCACTTCTACAGATTCCTTCTTATCTTGGCCCAGCCTGCATCCATAAACTGAAAAACCTCTCAGCTTTCTTTAGGATAAAGTCCTGAATTGAAAACATGGCCTAACAGGTCCTTCAAGATCTGCCCATTGGGGTCCCTTCACTTCTGTGTTTGCAAACTGATTAATTCCCAAGTTTTCTCTGAGGTCCCTGAAGACTGCAATTGGAAGAAACCTAGTCTTCCTATAACCCACATTTTTTGAGGAAATCACACTCAGCTTTGTCCCATACACCCTCAACCTTCAATTTAGAATCCATTTGTCCCAGAAAACACATATAATTAAAGTCAGGTTCAGGCAGCCTGGCCCAATGCTCCCTGTAAAAAAAACCAGTATTTATCTCATTGTATTGTCGTCAAATATTTTCTAGTTTGGTTCCCCTCCATCCTTGATGTTGACTTTCAACTGAGCCCAGTTTGCTCATAGAAAACTACAGGTAACTCATGTGGAAGGCACTAAACATGTACTTGTGAAAAATAAATCAACATCCTAGAATAGAGACAAATGGAGCACTTTGGCACCTGCAACAAAACACCTTAACACATCACATCCCCATCAAGTAGTCCAGCTCCCCATAACAGCTTTTTCCACTGAGCAGCCAGTGACCTTCACTGAGAGACTATAATAATCCCCCGGCATGGTTTATAAAGTCCTGCAAGATCTGCTGGCTGCCCACACCCTAATCTCCTTTCCAGTCGCTCTCTTTCCTCTGCTTCAGCCATACCAGTCTTCCTCTGTTCCTCTAGGCAGCAAAGCTTGGTCCAATACCAGAAGCTTTGCACTTCTGATTAACCCTACCTTTAATTTTCCCCCTGATCTTGAGTTGGCTGGCTGATTGTCATTCAAATCCTTCAAATGTCATTCTCTAGACCTTTCCTGACTACCTACCTAAAAGAACGCTGATAAGACTAGACAAAGTGGATTCCATTATTTTGCTTGATTTTCTTCGCATAACGTGACCCTGGTCATTTTGCGGTTTTCTCTCTCCTTGATAAAATGAAAGCAAAAATGGTTCACGTTTTCTCTCCAACAACACGAACAGTGTCAAGCCAGAAGTACACTTACTAAACATGTCAATGTGCCTACTGCATTTTCCCCCTGCCAGGTTTGCTTCAATCAAGGACCTCGAGAGGACTGCTATCCTGCAGGAAAGCCCTAGAACCCCCATAGCCATCCCTAAGAGACTGTTCTCCTCCAGGTGGGGCGAGGCATCCGCAGCCAGGAAGCTAACCGGGTCTCAGAGACCGACAGACGCGCCAAAGACCCGAGACTCGCTTCAGAGAAACGCTGCGGAGCGGTGGCCAGCTAGGGCCTGCCTCGCCTCACCCCGCCCTGCCTCTCGGACTCCGCCGCCTTCCTGGTCCCTCAACCCACCGCACATTTGCCGCTCCCGCCGCCCAGCTCAGCCTCCGCTCGTGGTTACCTGCCAGCGAGCCGGCTCGGACCACGCCGCGTCTCACCACCATTCGCGTCCACATCTGACCTCTCCGGGCCACCGTACTTCACCGAAAAGCCAGGCCGGCCCCTCCCTGCGCATGCGTGGAAGCCCCAAGGGGGGGAGAGGGGGGAGGGAGGGGGAGAGGGG